CACCCCCCCCCCCCCCCCCCCCCCCCCCGCTTGGTAGGGTGTTGGTCGTGAAACAGGGTCTCATGTAGTCCAGTTTGTCCTTAGACTTCCTGTGTAGCAGCTGAAGATGATCTTAAACTTGTGAGTTTCATGCCTCTGCTTCTAAAGTGCAAGATTACAGTCATCCACTATCACACCTGGTTTGTTTTTTTTGTTTTGTTTTGTTTTGTTTTTCTGTTTGTTTATTTTGGAGACAGGGCCTCACTGTGTAGTCCTGGCCAGCCTAAAATCTGTATGAACCAGGCTGGCTTCAAACTCACAGATCCATGCACCTGCTTCTGTCTTGTGAATGCTAGGTCTCCTGTATTTTAAGTTTTTAAATTCCATTTTTTTTTAAATTATTTTTTATGTTGGTTGGGAGGTAGCATGTATGCATTTGGAAGTCAGGATAAGTCCGAGAGATCAAATTTAGGTCATCAGACTTGGCAGCAAGTGCCTTTACCTGCTGAGCCATCTCCTTAGTCTCTTCTCTGTATTTCTTAAAATAAAAATCTCTTTGATGTGTGTGCCGAGCTACATCCCCAGTCCAGGTGAAAAGAAAAAATTCTTACCAGTTTCTGTGTATAGGATAGGAAATTGTACTTTCTGTAATTATATCTAAAGCTCTTAGCATTTGTATTAGAATCTTTTCCACTACCTATTTTGCATCCTAATAGAAATAGCTAAATGCTAAATCCTCATTTGGAGGATTATAAAGACTTGTAATAGTGGCAGTAATTCTTTCCCAATGTCAAAGGTTTTGTTGTAAAATGTACCTCCATAGGGGCCAGCAAGATGACTCTGGGTAAAGGCTGCCAAGTCAGTTGACCCAAGTTGAGTCCTCAGAACCCATGTGGTAGAAGGAGATCATCAGCTCTCATTTGTTCTCTGATCTCCACACTCATGCCTTATCGTGAGCTCACAGTTACATCCTTCACATGAACTGGGCATGGATGACACATGCTTTTGTCTAAGCACTCCTCTGGCACAGATAGGATGATCTCTCTGAGTTGATGCCAGCTAGGACTACATAGTGAAACCCTGTTTCTGAGGGGGAAGAAAAGAAGAAGCAAAAAAATCACATTTATTTTAGCCAGGCAGTGGTGGTACGCACCTGTGATCCTAGCAACCGGGGAGGCAGAGGCAGGTGGATATCTATGAAGCCAGCCTAGATTACAGAGTGAGTTTCAGGACAGCCAGAGATACACAGAGAAACCCTGTCTTGAAAAAACAAAGAGAAACAAACAACATTTATGTGTACGCACACATGCTGTGGATTGTGTGTGGAGGTCAGAGGACAATTTGAGGGAATAAGTTTTCTTCATCCTCCATGTGGGTCCTGGGGATTGAACTCAGGTAATGAAAGACTGTATACAGACATCTATGTGTGATATTTGCACATATGTAGTAAATCTTCTTACGATTTTATTTATGTATGTTTGGGTTTTTTGTTTGTTTGGCTGGTTGTTTTGGTTTTCGAGACAGGGTTTCTCTGTGGCTTTGGAGGCTATCCTGGAACTAAACTAGCTCTTGTAGACCAGGCTGGTCTCGAACTCACAGAGATCCGCCTGCCTCTGCCTCCCCAGTGCTGAGACTAAAGGTACACCACCACCGCCAGGCCAGTTTGTTTCTTGAAACAGGGTTTCTCTATGTAACAACTCCTGGAGTTAGATCTGTTGACCAGACTGGCCTCAATCTCAGAGATATGCCTGTCTCTGCCTCCTGAGTGCTGGAATTGAAGGCCTTGTACCACTACCCAGTTCCAATAAATTCTGATTAATGGCAAACTTCAAGTCTTTACCAAAGCCATCATTTTCTAAAATCACTGAGGGATGCCAGTTGGTGGTGGTGCATGCCTTTAGTCCCAGGTCTCCAGAGGCAGAGGTAGGCGGATCTCAGATCAAGTCCAGCCTGGTCTACAGAGCATGTTCCAGGACAGCCAGAGCTACACAGATAAACCTTGTCTAAAAAAACAAAAACAAAAACAAAAAAAACCCTCAAAACAAAGTTTATTGGAAATCTGGTTTTCCTGATTTTTGGTTTTTGGTTGTTTTTTTGTTTGTTGTTGTTTTGTTTGTTGTTTTGTTGTTTTGTTTTTTTTTTTCCCGAGACAGGGTTTCTCTGTGACTTTGGAGGCTGTCCTGGAACTAGCTCTTATAGACCAGGCTGGCCTCAAACTCACAGAGATCTGCCTGCCTCTGCCTCCCGAGTGCTGGGATTAAAGGCGTGTGCCACCAATGCCTGGCTGGTGGTTGGTTTTTGTAAGACGGGGTTTCTCTGTGTAGCCTTGGCTGTCCTAGAACTCTGTAGACCAAGCTGGCCTGGAACTCTGGAGATAAGCCTGCCTCTTGCCTTCAGAGTGCTGGGATTAAAAAGGCGTGTGCCACTACCTGGCAGAAGTCTATAAAACACTTCTTTGTGTAGGTTCCCAGAGCCTGAGGTGACTGCAAACAAAAAAACAGAAGAAATTATCCTTTTGTGATATCCTTTTAATTCTCAACATAGTGAATTTGTTTTGTTGTGGTTTTGCCATTCTGATGATCAAACTCAGTTTTATTCAAGCTAGGCAATCATTCTACTGCTGAGCTGCCTTTCCAGCTTTCAGTGCCTGTGAAATTTAAATCACGTTTTCCCTTTGGATAATCTGTGTTTAAATCTAAAACTATGTTTTCTTCACGTGAAAGAAACTGTGTATACTGTTCATGTTTTCCAGAAGCACCAAATGAAGACAAGTCAGCCACTTTTGTAACAAGAAAGCAGGTAATTAAAAACTCATTTAAACTTTGTGTGTGTGGATATTTTGTGTACATATAAGATTGTGTTTTTAATTATATATGTGTGTGAACTTGTGCATGTGAGTGCAGTGCCCATGGAATCCAGAAGAGGGTATCAGATTCCCCAGAGTTGGAGTTATAAATGATCAAATGAAAATTGAGTGTATGTGTGTACCTACCAAGTGTGTGCCTGGTGTCAGCAAAAGCCAGAGAGGGCATTGGATCACCGGGAACTGGAGTTACAGATGGTTGAGCTACGATGTGGGTGCTGGGAATGGAACCAGGTCCTCTGGAAGGACAGCCAGTGCTTGGTCATCTTTCTAGCCCTTAAGATGCTTTTCTGATGTGAGTTTTATAAGAACGGGTAAAATAAATTTCCCTTCTCAGGCAAAGATTACCCGTGCACCTGGTAAAAAAACCTCTTAAGACAGTTCAAACTAAGGTCAAACAGTAGGTTTTGTTGTTTGGTTTTGGTACTAAGGCTTGAGCCCTCACACATGCTTGGTGAACACTGTGCCCCTGAGCTGCACCCTAGTCATTCTTTTTGTTTGTTTTTTTGTTTTGTTTTGTTTTGGAGACAGGGTTTCTCTGTAGCTTTTGGAGGTTGTCCTAGAACCCTCTCTGTAGACCAGTTCGAGGCTGGCTTCGAACCTGCCTGCCTCTGCCTCCCCAAGTGCTGGGCCTAAAGGCATGTACCACCAATGCCCAGCTTCTTTTCTTATTAAGTTTCAGGGTTTTGGGTTTCTTTCAGTGTTTTGGCTTTTTTTTTTTTTTTTTTTTTTCCTGTGTGTGAGCCTGCATGTATGTGTGTGTGCCATGTGTATGCAGTGCCCCCAGGAAGCCAGAAGAGGAATCTGATCTGAAATCATAACTGAAATTGGAGTTTATAGATGATTGTGATCCACCATGCAAGTGCAGCCACATCAGGGGCCTCTGCAAGAGCAGCAAGTGCTCATGACCACTGAGCCATCTTCCAGCCCCACAGCAGTGATTATTAGTAAAGAATGACATGTCAGAACATTGATGATTACTAGCTATCCAGACAGTGTTGGGTTTTTTTTTTTTTTATATTTTATTTATTTATTATATATACAACATTCTGCTTCCATGTATATCTGCACACCAGAAGAGGGCACCAGATCTCATAAGGGATGGTTGTGAGCCACCATGTGGTTGCTGGGAATTGAACTCAGGACCTCTGGAAGAGCAGTCGGGGTGGTACTCTTAACCTCTGAGCTATCTCTCCAGCCCCCAGTGTTGGATTTTGCTTGTGGATAATGTCTGTCTCTGTAGCTCTGGCTGTGCTTGCAATAGAGATCTGCCTCCCAAATGCTGGGATTCAATGTATGCACCATCTTCACCTTGCTTATACTGTGTTGTAACCTTGCTATTGGTGTCAGAGTATTCTCATAGGATTTTTTACTTTGACTACCTTATCAATATATTGGAAAAGAGGTAAGTGGCAACAGGTTTTGACAAGTTTTATGGTTTCTTTTGCAGAAGTGGACCATAGAAGAAAGCGAGTGGGTGAAGGCTGGAGTGCAGAAATATGGGGAAGGAAACTGGGTTGCCATTTCTAAAAGTTACCCCTTTACTAACCGAACAGCTGTGATGATTAAAGATCGATGGCGGACCATGAAAAAACTTGGCATGAACTGAAAAAGGCTCTCATTTCCACAGGATTCACAAGAACATGGTCTGAACAGTAGTCACTGATGTTCTGATGTCTTTCAGAAACTAGACTGAGATGAGAATTGTGGGCAACCTCTTTCTGTCCAGGGAGGTTCCATGTACACTCCCATCACTGTTGGAATTGATGGAGCTGAGAAGTAAAGCCAAGTCCACCCCGTGTCTGCAGCAGAGGTGACAGGCACACAGCTTGTACAGTACCAGAATATCATTAGTGTTTCCCTTTAGTGGTTTGCTTCATTTTGATCCCCAGTAATCCATAGAACCTTCTCCTAAGAAATGATGGAATCCATTAGGAGTACTTACGATCTCAAGACCTGTTAAATCCAGCAATGTGAGCCTTATCTGGAATGTACTTAATCCAATCTTCATTGAGTGTCGGCCTCCTAACTCAAGAACAAAGGATCTCTGTGTGTTGAGCCCAGACGAGAGATTGTCAGTCCTTGTGAAATCTGATTTCTTTTAAAAATTGTGTATCCACTTGCATCTTCAACCCTGGACCTAACTGCCTTGGCATTCGCTGTTAACGAATGCTGGGCTACATGGCAGGTTTATCCTCCACACTTTTCATGTGGTTAAACAAGTGTTCTGTTTTGTTTTTTGTTTTTTTTTTTTTGTTTTTTTTTTTTTTTGGTAGAATGGTGATTGTAGATAAGCTTAGCTTCCCACCGCACCCCAAACCCCTTCTCAGAGCCTTTCCTTATGCTGTACTTTTAAAGCTTAAAAATCAATCCTGGTTGAATACAATGCCTAACTCATCCTCTGTGAAATGGTTGCTCCCATACTTCCCTAGTTGTGCTATGTTCGTGTCTTATACAGGAATCCAACATCCCTTTTCCTTTCGTACAGTGTTGTGCTTGCTTTTCTCTCAGACAACTTAAAAACTGTCTTTTCAGCAAAACAAAAATGAAAAAAATTCAGTTAAGTGTTTTCTGTAATCTTTTTTAAAATATGAGAATGAATTGTTCCTACTGTAGCATTCTTCATTAAAGTCTTGCTTCTCTCAAGGCTCCATAGCTGGTTAATTGCAGTGCAGCATGTATTCAGATGGGGCAGCAGCAGGGTTACAAGCTGCTGCACAATGCTGTTGAACTGCTATGAAGCCACTTTGTAGTCCTTAGATGCCATGTCACACATGCTGTGGAGTTGTCCCTTCTCCCAAGGGTCACTTTATATAGGGACCAAACAGTCCCTACTCCCTGTCTTCTGAGTGAGTACTAGGCAAGTTTAGAGATGTGTGGAAGTTTCCATTTCATCTTTAACTTTTTTTTTTCAAATTTATTATGTATACAGTATTCTGTCTGCATGTATGCTTGCAGAAGAGGGCATCAGATCTCATTACAGATGGTTGTGAGCCACCATGTGGTTGCTGGGGATTGAACTCAGGACCTCTGGAAGAGCAGCCTGTGCTCCTAACTGCTGAGCTATCTCTCCAGCCCTTCATCTTTAATTAATTGAAGTGTGAAAAGTGCAGAGTTAGAGCCTATTGGCTGTGTGTGGCATTTGATACTCCTGCCCTCTTAACCAGCCAACACAGGACGCCACAGAGAAGTGAGACCCAGTGCTGTGCCTGGTACTGTAGCTAGTTGTGACCTCCCTCCAGTCCTGATGGGAGTCACTATTTCTTGCCCACCCTTAGTATGCTTCGCTTTCTGTTGAAATGTAGAATTTTCTATGGATGCTGCTTGTTACATAAGTGATGTTAAGATTATGCTGGCAGTGGGACTTGACAGGGAGTGTGTCCTTATGGAATGAGGTAGTCCCAGGTTCCCCTGCCTTAAAAACTGTCCTGGAGTGCCAGGCAGTGGTGGCCCATGCCTTTAATCCCAGCACTAGGGAGGCAGAGGCAGGTGGAGTTTGAGGCCAGCCTGATCTGCAGAGTGAGTTCTAGGACAGCCACGACTACACAGAGAAACCTTGTCTAAGGAAAAGAATACCCTAGAGCAACCAGGCCTCCCAGGTAGTGAGATGCTTGCTGTCTGCTTATTACCTGTAACACTTGGAGTCAGTGGAGTGAATTCTAGGAAATTCTTAGTTTAAAGGTACCAATACAGTGAGTTTATTTGTTTTTGTTTCCTGGAACTTGCTAGGTAGATGAGACTGGCTTTGAACTTGGACATCTGCCTGCTGTTGTGCCCTCTTCCTCCTCCCCCAGCATGACTACTTTTTAGTATTTCAGGAGTATACCCACTGAAGAAAATGATACCACTTCCCTGTTGTTTTTTAAAGACTACATTAGATACTTTACTGTTGCTGTAAAACACCATGACCAAGGCAGCAACTTACAGAAGAGTTTATTTGTGCTTAAGGTGCTAGAGGGATAAAGAACCATCATTGTGAGGTGATGGTGGCACACACCTTTAATCCCAGCATTGGGGAGTGGGAGCACAGGAGGTAAAGGCAGGAGGCTCTCTGCTGTGAGTGAGTTGAGTTCCAGAATAGCCAGGGTTACACAGGAGCTGATGCAGAGGCTGTGGAGGAGAGCTGGTTGCTGGCTTTTCTCTTTTTTCCCCCTCTGCCTATTTTCTTATAGGACCTAGGACCAACAGTCCACCGGTGGCCCCACTCACAATGGACTGGACCCTCCATCAATCACTAAGAAATGTCCTAAGGCTGAACTGCAGCCTGATTTTATAGACATTTTCTCAATTGAGGTTCCCTCATCTCAGATGAGTATAGCTTGTATCAAGTTAACATGAAACTAGCCAGTACTTCATGTATTAAAACTTTTAGGTAGTTAGGCATTGTGACAAATATCTTTAATGTCAGCACTCAGTGGCAGGCAGATCTTGGAGTTCAAGACTAGTCTGGGGGCTGGAGAGAGCAGTGGTTAAGAGCACTGGCTGCTCTCCTGGAGGTCCTAGGAGTCAGGAATTGAATCCACATGGAGGCTCACAACCTGTATCCTATGGAATCCAGTGCCCTCTTCTGGTGTGCAGATGTACCTGCAGACACAACCCGTATAAACATAGGAGATCCCTGCACCTGACCCTACTCCCAAAAAGTGAGAAAAATGCTTTTGTATGCATGTATATGCTGAGCTTTGCTCTAGGGCACAAATTCTGTTGGCCAGAGTCTGTTGACCCGGTCGGTGCTTAATAGAAAGTAAGTGGCACCCAGCCATCTGATATAAGAGAAACCTCAGCTCAGCCAGCTTTTGTCAGTATGCATACTGGCTATAAATTAACTTGCCACATATTTAATCTACAAGAAGGAAAACTGAGAAAACAGCACAAAGAATGGATGGAAAGCTCTCTTCTGATAAGTACTTTTCTAGAACCCATTAACTGGATCTGGCAAGCCACTTTCTTGAGGTGAAAAGCAAAATCTGTCTGTGATCCAAGATGGGAGGCACAGCAACTGTATTGCTAAACATATATGATGGCTCTGAAACCGGTCCTAACTGTGGTTTGTGGGGTTAATGATTAGCCAGAAGCTGTCTAACCTTTCCACAGGGCTGTGAGCAGCGCACCTGCAGAAGAATCCACAGAAAGCAGCATGTTCACTTTGTTCCTTGTGGCTGGGTTGGTGGTTCCGAGCCTAGTGACTTCTGCTAGGAGCCAGGAGCCAGATCCCCCAATTGGCTCTGAGGACCAGCCACTCTTCCGTGGAGCTGATCAGCATGACTTTGCCATCGTGATCCATCCAGGAGACACAGAATGTTTCTGGCAATTTGCTGACAAGATGGGTTACTTCTACTTCAGCTATGAGGTGTGTGGAGGCCTCTGGCCATAGCTTTTATAAAGTGAGTGAGGTTTTTTTATGAAGCCAAGGTCTGGTTATCTATAATGCTGTGGTTGCCACTTGTGAATCAAATGGACCTTCAGTTAGAGGGCAACTCTGGATGAGAGTTAGATGAATAGCCAGCATATGGGTGGGTCTAGAACTGGAAGCTACAGCAGTGTGCTCAAATCCCAGGGACAAAGTCATACTTCTGAGAGAGAGACAGCCTTCACTAGTCCTCTGATTTGAGGTGACAGGAGAGCCAATACCTTCTAAAATAGTTATGTATGCAGCACAGAGTTGGATGAAAAGGGCAATTAATAGATTTCAAATGAAACCACTTCAGTCAATGGGGTGGGGGCACTGTTGGTACTTCCTACCTCTGTTAATCCTAGCATACTGGAGAATAACCAGCTGAAAGTATGTCTATGCAACCAGACAGTTCTTTTTTTTTTTTTAAAGATGTTATTTATTTTGTATAGTCTTCAGCCTGCATGCCAGCAGAGGGCACCAGATGTCATTTAAGGTGGTTGTGAGCCACCATGTAGTTGCTGGGAATTGGACTCAGAACCTCTAGAAGAACAGTCAGTGCTCTTAATCACTGAGCCATCTCTCCAGCCCACTTTTTTCTTTTTTAAGATTTATTTATTTTATGTGTGAGTGCTCTATCTGCACTTACAACTTTATGCAAGAAGAAGGCATCAGATCCCACTATAGATGGCGGTGAGCCACCATGTGGTCGCTAGGAATTGAACTCAGGACCTTTGGAAGAGCAGCCAGTGTTCTTAAACTCTGTATTTCTTTTAGGAGGGTACCTATCCCTTGGACAAATATACTAAAAGGGGCTTATGCCACCCAAGGATTCTGAGGTTAATATTAAAGTTAGAGGTACTTTTTTTTTTTTTTTTTAAGTTGTAGAGGCTCTCAGGGGAGACGGGGTCTCATGTAGCCCAGGATACAGTCAAGTAGGTGGCCTCACACTTTCGCTACACCCAAGGATGACCCTGAACTGATAATCCTCCCACCTCCACCTTACAAGTGCTAGGACTACAGGTGTACACCAGCATGTCCTAGTTTATGGGGTACTGGGGATCATGCCCAGGACTTTGTGCACACAGGCAAGTGCTCTATTAACTGAGCTGTAGCCCAGTTCTCTGCTTTTAATCTAAGAAACCTGTTAGCTTTTTCTTTTTACTTTTTTGAGATAGGATCTCAATACATGGGCCTTGCTGGGTAAGAATGTGCAAGATTCGTGCATTTCCCAAAGTGTGCTGTCGTACCCAGCCATAATTTACTTGTTTTTGTTTTTCGAGACAGGGTTTCTCTGTGTAGCTTTGGAGCCTGTCCTGGAACTTGCTCTCTAGACCAGTCTGGCCTCGAACTCACAGAGATCTACCTGCCTCTGCCTCCTGAGTGCTGGAATTAAAAATGTCACTACTGCCGGGCAAGCAGTATTACTCTTATTCCACTGAAATTAACTTTTGTTTTTGTTGTTTTGTTTTTCAAGACAGGGTTTCTCTGTGTAGTCCTGGCTTTGCTGATGCCATGGGGTGTCAAGTTTTACCATGTTGCTGGTGTCTGAATGATGTAGGGACTTTTTTTTTTTCTTTTCTTTTGAATGGTGATGGAAGGTTCAGCTCACTTTTGGAATGTCACATGATGGACACATTGCTGCCACCATACATACTCCACAGGGTTTCCTTATTGACACGTCCCAGGATGTTCGGGGCCAGATTAACTTCGCTACACAAGAGACAGGTCTGTATTCATGCCCAAGACTATGATAATGATCATAAGTTTCTATGAAATTGAGAAATAAGGGTGGCCCACACCTTTGATAACAACACTTAAGAGGCAGAGGCAGGAGGCAATCTCTGTGAGTTCGAGGCAAGCCTGATGTATAAGGAGAGTTTCAATATAGCCAGGGCTGGTACACAAAGAAACTCTGTCCCAAAAAGCAAAATAAAACAAAAATAATAATAAAATAAAATAAAAATCAGAACACTTTGTAGGGAATTATCCCAGTTAGGACATTTTTGTCCATAATGTGTCAGTTTCTCCTAGTTTTTTTAAAGATTTTATTTATTTATTATGTATACAACATTCTATCTCCATGTATATCTGCACACCAGAAGAGGGCACCAGATCTCATAACAGATGGTTGTGAGCCACCATGTGGTTGCTGGGAATTGAACTCAGGACCTCAGGAAGAGCAATCAGTGCTCTTAACCTCTGAGCCATCTCTCCAGCCCCTCTCCTAGGTTTTTGTTTGTTTGGTTGGTTGGTTGGTTTTTCAAGACAGAGTTGCTCTGTATAGCTCTGGTGGCTATCCTGGAACTTGCTTTGTAGACCAGGCTAATCTTAAACTCATAGATTCACCTGTCTCTGCCTCTCCAGTGCAGAGATTAAAGATATGCACCACCACTGCCCAGTAATTTTTCCTAGTTTCAAGTTCAAGGTGTCACCCTCCAGTTTTGTTGTCTACAAAGAATAAGCAAATACACCATGCTTTCAACTTCAACACATACCCAGGGGTGGCACACAGAGGTCTGTAATCCCAGCACTCAGGAGACAGAGGCAGGCAGATCTCTGAAATCGAGGCCAGCCTGGTTGTCTGAGTTCCACTGCTGTGACAAACATTCAAGACCAAGGCAACTCGTAAAAGAAAGCTTTTAATTGGGGGCTTACTTACAGTTTCAGAGGGTTATGTCTGTGACCATCATGGTGGGGAGCAAGGCATCGGACAGGCAGGCATAGTGCTGGAGCAGTAGCTGAGTGGTTATATCTGACCCACAACCATGAGGCAGAGAGGTAGAGACTAGACCTGGTATTGCTTTTGAAACCTTACAGCCCCACCCACAATGACATACCTCCTCCAGCAAGGCTACACCTTCTAATCCTTCCCCAAATAGTTATCCCAACTAGGGACCAAGCATTTAAATATATGAGCCTATGGGGCCATTCTCATTCAAACTATCACAGTGATCTTCATGACTACATAGTGAGACCCCCATCTCAAAACAAAACAAAAAAAAACAATTAGTGTTGGAAGAGGAAAGCATTTTTGTATCTAGTATAGGAGTTATCATTTAGCAAAATGTAATTATGAGTAGTATTTAGCAAGTTACTGTTAAGAACAGTGCCCTTTTTGTCAAAAATGGTCCTATTACTTCCTAAACAGGTGCTACAGTAGTAATTTTGAAACCAGGGAACAAACTATAAGCATTTCAGATGCTGAGGTATAAGAATTTTGGGTTCGCTGGGCGGGGTGGCGCACACCTTTAATCCCAGCACTTGGGAGGCAGAGGCAGGCAGATCTCTGTGAGTTTGAGACCAGCCTGGTCTACAAGAGCTAGTTCCAGGACAGCCTCCAAAGCCACAGAGGGAAACCCTGTCCCCGGAAAAAAAAAAAAAAAAAAAAAAAAAAAAGAATTTTGGGTTCAAGACCAGGCTGATCTACATAGTGAGACCTTGCCTCAAATGAAAAAATAAAACAAGCTGGGCAGTGGTGGCACACATCTTTAATCCTAGCACCTGGGAGGCAGAGGTAGATGGATCTCTGTGAGTTTGAGGTCAGTCTGGTCTACAGAGTAAGTTCCAGAGAGCCATAGCTACACAGAGAAACACTGTCTCAAACCCCTCCAAAAAAAAACAACAAAAAAACTGGTGAACAGCTATGTCTAGGGGAACCTTAAGACAGGGTGGGATGCTGGGTGGTGGTGCACACCTTTAATCCCAGCACTCGGGAGCAGAGGCAGACACATCTATGTGAGTTTGAGACCAGACTGGTCTACAGATCGAGTTCCAGGATAGGCACCAAAACTACACAAAGAAACCCTGTCTCGAGAAAAACAAACACACACACCCCACAAAAAAACAAAAGACAGGGTGGGACACCTAAAACACAGTAATGAGATCTAGGAATTCCCACAGGTTTTTATCAGCTTTGTCTAAAAAATGAGCAGAATCGCTTCAGTTCTGTACAAGTGTATCTCAACTTTGGAGTCTTCTATGAGGGGCCTGAAATGGATCACAAAGAGAATCAAAGGAAACAGCTGAATGATACTCTGGATGCCATTGAGGTAATGGGATTAGAATGCCTGGGGGTATAGCCTGAATGACTCATGATAAAAACAAAACAGGCAAGAGGAGCTGAACCTGTAAGTTCAGCATTATGTAGCATGGAGCTCCATTGTTTGGTGTCGAGGCCTGGGCAAACAATGGCTAACAGATCCATCTATTCCATGCCTCTTTTCATATATATTCACAAGATTGTGCAGCTACCCCTAGTGCCTAGAGCAGAACAATCTTGTGTCCCTGAAAGAAACTACACACATCCTGCCCCCATTCCCTCTAGAATCTCCCAATGCCAGAATCACTGTTGTACTGTTCTATGGTTTTCTGTTTGAAATTTAATGTAAGCAGAATCATACATACGGCTTTGTGGTAGCTTCTCTTACAAAGCATGGCTTCTGTTTGAGACAAGGTCTTACTCTGCATCCTTGGCTGGCCTTGGACTCACAGAAATCCACCTGTCTCTTTAGTGCTGAGATTAATGGCATGTGTCACCATGCCCAGCTTGATTATTTACTTGATTATTTCAAGACACTATCTTATGTAACAGCTCTGGCTGTCCCAGAATTTGCTCTGTAGACCAGGCTGGCCTCAAACTCAGAGATATCTTCCTGCCTCCACCTCCTAAGTGCTGGAATTAAGGGTGTGCACCAACTGCCTCTCTTTGATTACTTTTTTTTTTTTCTTTCTTTCTTTTAAAAAAAAAAGGGGGGGGCTGGAGAGACGGCTCAGAGGTTAAGAGCACTGACTGCTCTTCCAGAGGTCCTGAGTTCAATTCCCAGCAACCACATGGTGGCTCACAACTTTCTGTGAGATATACATGGAACCATGTATACATGGAAGCATTCTGTATACATACAGAATGTTGTATACATAATAAATAAAATCTTAAAAAAAAAGCAGGGTTTCATAGAAACAGGCAGATCTCTGAGTTTGAGCCAACTTAGTCTACAGAGTAAGTTGCAAAATGGCTGTAGCTATGTAGTAGACTGTCTCAAAAAACAAACAAAATTAGCCGGGTGGGTGGTAGCACATGCCTTTAATCCTAGCACTCAGGAGGCAGAGGCAGGCGGATCTCTGTGAGTTCAAGACCACCCTGGTCTACAGAGCAAGTTCCAGGACAGCCTCCAAAGCCACAGAGAAACCCTGTCTCAAAAAAAAAAAAATTAAACATCTCTTCATATGCTTATTGACCATTTTGTATATCATTGAGAAAATGTCTACTGAGATCCTTTGCTGGGGGCTGGAGATGTACCTCAGTACTAGCTAGCCCTTGCCAGGTATGTACCAACATCAGCACCACAAGCAGAAAAAAGTTGTATGTGGGGAAGTCATCATTTTCTTAAAAGCTCCTTGTTAGTTTCCTTTGGATTCTGGGTAAAAGCCTCTGACTAGACAGATGTCTTCTCCCATCACTGTTTCCTTGGCACACAAAAGCTTTTGTTCTATAAACCTAAATCTTACTGGAACAGAGCCATGTTCATTTGCCAGTTACACATCATTTATGACTGCTTTTGTGCTATAATGGCAAAATTTGGTACTTACAAGAGACATCTTCAAAGATATTTCTTTGTAAGCCTGACAAAAGTCTGTAGGGAGAAGGCATCAATTAGGAGGGTAATGACACACCGAACACACATCTCAATCTACTGTTGTAGAACTATTTCTGACACTGATATTGGCTTATACCTGTAACTCAACAGGGTAGATCAGGAATTTAAAGTTATCCTTGGCTACAGTGTAAGGCCAGCCTGGGCTATCTGAAAAGTAGTTCAGTAAGAGTGTTTACCTCAAACGTACAAGGCTAAGTGTTAGGGGGCTGAGAATTTTGTGGATACTATGCAATCCTTCCGACTACTGAGGTACATCCCAACCTCCCACCCATATCTCCCAACTTGGAAAACTAGCCAAGCAAATCTTTTTAAATACAGCCTAAGTACCATTTTTTTGTTTGTTTTTTTGAGACAGGGTTTCTCTGTGTAACAGCACTGGCTGTCCTGGAACTCACAGAGGTCTACCTGTCTCTGCCTCCCGAGTGCTCAGATTAAAGGCACAGGCCACCACTTCCCGACTCAACATACCCTTTATTATCGACTGCTATAGCAGTGTTGGATGTCAGAATCTTGAATAACGTTGACTTAGTTAACTTACCTTGTGCAGAGAGGCCCAGACAGCAGCCAGAGCCGCTTTCCTTCTTCCCACAGGACAGCACACGAAAGGTTCAGAACAATGTTTTTCACATGTGGCGCTACTACAACTTTGCCAGGATGAGGAAAGTGGCTGATTTTTTCCTTCTTCAGTCCAACTACACCTATGTGAACTGGTGGTCTGCAGCTCAGAGCCTTGCTATTGTTCTTTCTGGGGTCCTTCAGCTGTATTTCTTAAAACGTCTTTTCACCGTCTCTACTGACACAAGGCCAAGATGCTAATATATAGCTTTAATAAACCAGTTTTTTTTTTTTGGAGGGGGGAGTCAAATCAATTTGTGTTCATCAGTAAATGGAAATGGCAATAATAAAAATTGAGTTCTGATGCTGATTATCCTAAAATATGTATTAAGTGCTAAAACTAAAATGCAATTTTTGCAGAGAGGGTTTCAATATGTAGCCTTGGCTATCCTAGAACCTGCTGTATAGACCCAGCTATCCTCAGAGATTTGTCTCTGCCTCTTCACTGCTGTACACATACTACCATCCCCAGCCAGAAATACCATTCTGTACAGCTGTCCCTTAACCTTCACGGATTCCACTTAGAAGTTAATAGAAAACCCTGGAAGGGGGTTCTGAAGAAGTAGCTCAGTTGACAGAGTATCTGCTTTGCATGCAGATACTAGCATTCCAGAGGTGGAAGCATTAAAATCAGCTTCAGCTAGTTCAAGGCCCTATCTCAAAATAAGTTAGAAAGCTCTGGAAGAAGAGTTGAAAACAATGGAACAAAGTCTAAATCTGCTGGGTAGTGGTGGTGCACGCTTTTGATCCCAGCTCTCTGGAGGCAGAGTCAGGCAGATCTCTAAGTTCGAGTTCCAGGACAGCCTCCAAAGCCACAGAGAAACCCTGTCTCGAAACAACCAAAAAAAATAAAAACCTTTTAAATCCATTGTGTAGGACTGTGAAGTTCAGCATTCTCTCCTTCTACTTTGTCCCAGAGATTGAATCTTTTTTTTTAAGGGTTTTTTTTTTAAATATTTTATTATGTATACAACATTCTGCTTCCATATAGATCTGCACACCAGAAGAGGGCACCAGATCTCATAATGGATGGTTGTGAGCCATCATGTGGTTGCTGGGAATTGATCTCAGGACCTCTGGAAGAGCAGCCAGTGCTCTTAACCACTGAGCCATCTCTCCAGCCCCAAGGGATTGAATCTTAACATTGGGCTTGGTAGCACATGCCCTTATCCACTCTACTGGCTTACCCACTGGCCTATCCTGCCTGCCCTATAGTGCCTTTCTGTGGTTGGAAATATTTTAAAGGATGTTACCTTTGGAAATGAGGTGTAGTGACATAGAGCTATAATATCACTTGAGAAGCTTAGACAGCCTGACTACATAGTTGTTTCAGACCAGTGTAAACATAAAAAAGATGATGGGTGGTGCTGGTGCACGCCTTTGACCCAGCACTCAGGAGGCAGAGGCATGGGGATTTCTGTGAGTTTACAGAGAAAGTTCCAGGACAGCCAGGGCTGTTTTACAGAGAAACCCTGTCTCCAGAAACAAAACAAAAAAATAAACAACAACAACAAAAAATGTTTTGAGCCCAATGTGGCAGTTTACCCATTTATTTCTAGCACTTTAGAGGAAAATGATCTGAGTTCAAAGCCAGCCTGGTCAAGTTCCCAGCCTGTCTTGGAAACATAGTAAAACCCTGTTTCAATTAATAATAATGTAACAAAAATATTTCAACATGGGCAGGGAAGATAGCTCAGCAGTTAAGAGCCTTCTCTTTCAGAGGACAAGGATTTGGTTTCCAACACCTACACAGAGGTGACTTACAACTGCCTTTAACTCCAGCCCCAGGGAATCCAACCCCCTCTTCTGGCCTCTGAGTACACTGGTATCCAAATGGAATATACAAATGGATTTCTCTACATAGCCCCAACTGTCATGGAACTCACTATATAGACTGCTGGCCTTGAGCTCACAGAGATCTACCTGCCTGTCTCCTGAGTGCTGAGATTAAGGGTGTGTGCCACCATGTCTGGCACACAGTTTTTAAAAATGGGGGTTGGAGAGACAGTTTGATGGCTTAAGAGCACAGACTACTCTTGACACAGTTCCAAACACCCCCACATCAACTCACATACATCTGTAACTCTAGTTCCAGGGATTCTAAGACTCTTCAGGCCTCCATGTCACGGTGCACAGGCATACATACATACATACATACACGCAGACAAAACATTCACACACAAAAAAAATACATCTAAAACACTTTTAAAAATATATTTCAATATTTATTCCACACCTATTTGCCAGATCTATAGATCTATGCTAGATGCTTTATAATCATTATTTTTAATTCTGAATACCAGCAAGTTGATGATTAAAGAATATTTTCCAGTTTTGTGCGTTTTGCATTTGTTTTTCTTTTGGCTGGCCAGGAACTCCCTATGTGGACAAGGCTGGCCTTGAATTCATCTGCCTCTGCCTCCCCACTGCTGGAATTAAAAGTGTACCACCACACTTCCAGTTTCATGCTTCATGCTTTGGGTTTATTTTGTTTTGTTTTTCCCTTTTAACAAAGGAAGAAAATAAAGCCTATCTGGTATTGACATAACTTGTCCAATACCAGACAACTGGCAGGCAGCAGAATTGAGGCTTGAGTACAGGTTCTTCCACACCATACACCACTTACCACAAAGAAAAATAGCTGAGTTCCATCTATTACTTTTACTCAATTCCATTTGTAAAATTCATAGGCATAGCCTACTATCCTTATATGGCTGTTTCTACCTTTAATGGTATTAAAAAACAATACCATTAGTCTGCTATGTTATTACTAGCCTGGAAAAGTGTTATCACAGATAACAGTAAAACTGCTCCTGTCCTCAGTGCAGTAACTTAGAGCTCGTTATCAGAACAAGTCTGCTGATTCAAACAAAGAGATACAGATAGAGAATAGAAACACTATTTACTCACACGAACACTTGACAGGTTTTGGTTTGTTTGTTTTAGATTTTTGAGACAGGGGTCTCACTATGTAGCACAGGCTAGCCTTGAACTTGCCCAAGTAGCCCCCTATACTTGTGATCCACCTGCTTTTGCCTCTAGATGGCCTGAAATTCTATTTTTGAGCCATTTCTGTTGAGTAAGAATCCAAGTTGCATATATCAGTGTTATCCAAATTTGACACGATGATGTCTGCACACATAGGAAACAAAGCTAAGTCCTCTCAATCAGCAAAGTTTGGGATGCCCATACTAAGTTAATGTCTCTTCATGCCGTACATATTCTCCAATGTCTGCTTGATGAAACACCACAATTGCCATGGGGTCCACTTTTCTGCAGTCTTGAGTAGACTTTGCTGCCACCCCAAAACCCTAGAATTGAAAGAACAACACTAATTTACTCACTAAAAAAAAAAACAAACAAAAACCTATGTTAAAACAGTTATATGTCTGAGAAATTTTCCCAGAAATTTCTTTTTCTGGGAAACAACATCCTTTTCAGAAGGTACTGGTATTTGTGATGGCTACCATCTCTACTCACCAAAGGAACGTCTGCCATGGAGTAAACCACTACTCCCTGGTACTGAGAAGTATTTTCAGTGATTCGACCCAGACCAGATTTCAACACATGATTTCCATACAAGAAGGACTGTTCTGCTCCAGGCTTTATCCACACTTTATACTGAAAGAGAGTTAAAAACCAAGAAATAGAAATGCTAGTTATGCCGGGTGTTGGAGGTGCACACCTTTAATCCCAGCACTCTGGAGGCAGAGGCAGGTGGATTGTGAGTTCGAAGCCAGCCTGGTCTACAGAGCAAGTGCCAGGATAGGCTCCAAAGATACAGGGAAACCCTGTCTCGAAAAAACAAACAGAAAGGAAGGAAGGCAGGCAGGCAGGTAAGTTATATCCCTGTAGGGAGATTGGCTGCTGTTTCTGTAGGGAAACAGACAAGCAGACATGTTCCCTTTAAACAGTTTGGACCCTGTTCTTTTAATCTTTTGCCATGGAGTTCCTTCCTCAACTTGACATCTTAACACTATGAGCAACTTACATAGAGGACAACAGTTTTGGGGTTCTGTTTATGTTTTTTTTTTTTTTGGACCCCAGGATCACTCTCATCACAGCCACTTATATCTACTTTCTGATCACCAGCTGACACTGTGGAGGCCTGTTTTCCTACAGTCAACTAGGCCATGCAGCTACATGGCATTCTCAGGCCCATACCCGTTCCTAAGCATGTCCAAGCAGCAATACCTACAAACATCTCGAACTGACGCTGTCAGTTCGGAAATGAATCTGAAGTCTGACCTAGCCGTCATCCTTGACTTCATCCCCGATGGCAAAATGGGAGACCAGACCCACATACCTTAGCGTAGGGTGCAAGGTAATCGAGAGCTGTAACGTGCAGCCGGAACTTGTGGGTCTTGGTAAACTTCCCAAAACACGTCCCCAGTGACACTAGCTTATCCCCGGAGATGTTGGCGGCCAGCTTCAGGATCATCTCACTACAAGGACGAGGGAGGAAGGTGCCTGGTGACGGCCACTGAAGGACGCGGGCCTCCAGCCCGGTACCCGGTGCGCAGCAAGCCCCACCTCACCTCACCTCACATAATACACTCGGTCGTTGTGCAGCCGGAAACAGTAGGTGCCGTCGGGCCTGTCCACCAGGAGCTGCAGATTCTCCCCGATGCTGAGGGCAAAGAGAAGACTGGACCCTCCCCCGGACCCGCCCCGCCCCAGCGCCGCGTGCGTCCCCGCTCCCCGCACCCCCGTCCCTCGTCCGCCTCTCAGGTTCCTACTATTTCGCAATCTTCTCAAACATCACTCGGGTCTCCTCTTCAGTCAAGGGCCTCATCTTCCCGCTAGCTTGATTCCCGGGATCCTCGTGCCCGGAGAGACGGAAACGGAAGTCACCTTACCCCCCGCTTCCTGGCAACACCAAAGCGTGCCTATCTAGCCCAATGCCACGTGTTCTTTGTGATAGTGCCACCTAGCTTGGAGGACCTCCGGGGACCGGAAAGCTGGCTAGGTGAGAAACCAGAGAGAGAGGAAGTGTTTCCCCAGCGTTTCCGGTTCCAGGCGCGAAAGCAGCGCCCCCGCGGGTGTGGAGAGGAAGTGACGGTGTTGCTGGGAAGATGGCTGCTGCTGTGACTCTCCAGGCCTCCCCTACTGCTTCGGCCACGGCTACAGCCACAGCAGCCGCGCTGGGGGAGGTAGAAGATGAAGGACTTTTGGCGTCGCTGTTCCGCGACCGCTTTCCCGAGGCCCAGTGGCGTGAGCGACCTGACGTAGGCCGCTACCTCCGGGAGCTGAGCGGCTCGGGGCTAGACCGGCTGCGACGAGAGCCCGAGCGCTTGGCGGAGGAGCGGGCCCAGCTGCTGCAGCAGACGCGCGACCTGGCCTTCGCCAACTACAAGACGTTCATTCGCGGTGCCGAGTGCACCGAGCGCATCCACCGTCTCTTTGGAGACGTGGAGACGTCCCTCGGTCACCTACTCGACCGCTTGCCCGGCTTCCAGCAGAGCTGCAGGTGCGGCTGGCCTAATGCTGAGAGGCCCATTATCTCAAACTGACAGGATGCCAGGAGGCTAGACATAGCTGACCCATGCATAGAGCTCTCTCCTGATGGCCTTAGTAATGCCCTTAAATTTCACCGCAGCCATCTAGGTAGGTACCATCATTGGTATTTTACAGACGAGGAAGTCGAAGTGAAGTGACTTGTCCAAGAACACAGCTAGTAAGTTTCCAAGTCAGAATTGACAGCCAGGAGTCCACCACTCTCTCCTCATAGGCCGCTTTATTAAATAATAATAAAAGTCCAGCCAATGTTGTTAACACAAGCTGTGGTTCCAGCACTTGTAGTGCAAACTCATCATCCAAGTCTGCATGTTGAGTTCAGGCCAGCCTGAGCTACAGGAGACATTGTACATTATATCAAAACAAACAAAAACCTATGTAAAAGTTGATTGGGGCCGACATAGTTAACATTACATACATGTCAACTTAATATATATGCACCTTTATAGTTAGGGATATTCAGCAGCTTGGGCTGGAGGCTATTGCGTTGAAATTTCCATGAGGCTGACTGACATGGCCATCATAGGTGGTCAAAAGCATTTTCTTTTTGAGCTTATTTCCTTCCTAGGTCCTCCATCTAATACCCTTAGTTCTGATATACAGCTCTATGTCATTTAATTTCATTTTTCTTTAGAGCTTTTGGATATTTAAAATAGCTTTTGTACCCTCTGTGCCTGAAAAGCGATTCAGGACTTCATTCAAGCCAGTTTCTGGAATTACTGTAGAGAAGTGGAGAAAGTTGAAGAGGAAGAACATCACATTAAGACCTGAGGGAATCTTAGGGCAAGAGTGTGGCTTGTAGGCTAGTTAGTGCTCTATTAGGGAAATATCAGTAGCTATTAAAATATGTGTATGTGTGTTTTGCCTGCATCTGTCTCTGAGCATCATATGTGCCCAGGGATGCCAAAAGGGGGAGGGGGGTGTCAGATCTGCTAGGTCTGGAGTAGATATGAGCCACTTGATATAGGTACTAGGATCTGAACCTGAGTCCCCCGAAAGAGAGGTGATTGCTGAGCCATCTCTCCAGCCCCAATAATAGCTAGTAAGGAATTTGTTTATTTTTTTTAAAGATTTTATTTATTATGTATACAACATTCTGCTTCCATGTATATCTGCACACCAGAAGAGGGCACCAGATCCCATAACGGATGGTTATGAGCCACCATGTGGTTGCTGGTACTTGAACTCAGGACCTCTGGAAGGGCAGTCAGTGCTCTTAACCTCTGAGACATCTCTCCAGCCCTTGTTTACTCTTTTTATACATTTACTTGTAGCAGGTCCTGTGTACTTCATAAATGTCTTTTGTTTCTGCAAGACAGGATTTCTCTTGTGTAGCCTTGGCTGTCCTGAAACTCCCTCAGTAGATCAGGCTGGCCTCAAACTCAGATATCTGCTTGCCTCGGCCTCCTGAGTGCCCAGATTCAAGATGTAGGACATCACTGTCACCCAGCCTAATACATGTCATCTTACCTGTCTCTAACTTTCATGCCTTTGTGAAACGGGCCTTCTTACTTTTAACCAATAGACAGGTCCAGAGAGGCAAAGTACCTTGCTATAACTTATTCCTTTTTCATGAGACCTTGAGCAGTTCAGTCCCAAATGTGACAATCCTCGCAGCCAATCCAGATCTACAAGGCATTTTAAAAATTACATCGAGAGATGAGTGCCACCATTTGCATGTGGAAGTCAGAAGACAGCTGTAGGAGTGGGTTCTCTCCTTCCATTATGTGGATCTAGGGATCAAACTCAGGTCAGCAGGCTTGTTGGCAGGTACCAGACACCTTTACCCACTTGAAATGTTTCTTAAACCTTGAGTTAAAAGTTTTTCAAGGGTCTGGAAAATTAGCTCAGTGGTTAAGAACACTGACTGCTCTTCCAGCGGACCTGGGGTTCAACTCCCAGCACCCATATCACTGCTCAAAACTGTCTAACTCCAGTTCCAGGGGATCTGACACCCTCACACCAATGCAACAAAAAAAAAATTTTAAAAAAATTTTTTTTTTTTTTTTTTTTTTTTTTTAGGCATTGGTGGTACATACCATAGAGAGTTACAGGACAGCCAGGGCTATGCACCGAAACCTGTCTCAAAAAACAAACAAAAAAGCTTCTTCAAGTATAATAGGAATTACAGGTTTGATGTGAGGATTTTGAGAGAGGTTCTTAACTATGTGTCTCTGGCTGGTCTGGAACTCATATCAGCCTCAGCCTCTGGGAGGTTGGGCTTAGGGTGTATACCACCACACTCAGCACTGAGTGACGATTTTAAATGAACCAGGTAAACTATAGAGCCCAGTGTGATAAGTGCTTGGTAACTGCCTACTGTGCAAAACAATGAGGAAATATATTTTCCTAATTGGTTGTAGGAACTTTGTGAAGGAAGCCGAGGAGATCAGCTCTAACCGCCGGATGAACACCCTGACTCTAAACCGGCACACAGAAATCCTAGAGATTTTAGAGATTCCCCAGCTTATGGACACCTGTGTCCGAAACAGCTATTATGAAGAGGCCCTGGAGCTTGCAGCCTATGTGCGACGACTGGAAAGGAAATACTCCTCCATCCCTGTCATCCAGGTAGCCAACTTGCTCAGAGGGCCCTGAAGCTGATCTTGTAATTATTGGTTCTGTGATTGTGACTAAGCTTTTAAGTAGAAGCCTTTGCATGTTTCATATCAATTTCTGCTAGCCAGGTAAGCTGAACAGAAGGGCTCACTTATTCAATGATCTTTTTTATTGTTTTTTGTTTTGTTTTGTTTTTGAGGCAGGGTTTCTTTCTTTTTCATTCTTTTTTTTTTTTTTTTGGTTTTTCGAGACAGGGTCTCTATGCTAGTGAACGTCTGATAATTGACAGATATTGATTAAATAGAAGAAATAAGCCAGAGAAAGCCAGGCAGGCATGATGGGGTAGACCTGTAAAACCAGCACCTGAAAGATGGAGACAAAAGGATCAATCAGGAGTTCAAGGCTATCCTTATTGACTTAGTGAGTTTGAGTCCAGCTTGCTGAGATTCTGTTCCAAAAAGACAAAAATAAAATTAACTGGAGACAAGCTGGACGTTGGTAGTGCACCCTTTTAGTCCCAGCACTCAGAAGGCAGATGCAGGCGCATCTCTGTGAGTTCCAGATTAGCCTGGTCTACAAGAGCTAGTTCCAGGACAGCCTCCAAAGCCACAGCGAAACCCTGTCTGGAAAAACAAAACAATTAATCGTGGACTAGTGTAGAGGGCTGGGAAGGGTTGTTACAGTGTTGCTTTGCTAGCATGATTAGGATGAAAAAGGACCAGTACTTGAAAATCTAGGGAGAGAGCAAAATAGGAAGTAGGAGAGGCAATAAAGGGTGAGGTGGAAAGAAATTGGAGTGTTTCAGGACTTTCAGCTTCTGTTACTGGACTATAATAAGAAAAGCTAGGGCATTAGGAAGCCAATGAAATTGGAGAATCCGGCAGGGCCTCATGATGAATAGTTGGTAGTTTGCTGTTTGTGATGGAAAATCCTAGGAGAATTTTGAGAAAGAGAGTTAGTTATGCAATTAGATCTCTGTAAACCTGCAGGTGTAAGCTTTAGAAATTTGCTTTATGTCAGGAAAGCCATAAGAATGTTGGCCTCCAGCCGGGCGTTGGTCCTTTAATCCCAGCACTCGGGAGGCAGAGGCAGGCGGATCTCTGTGAGTTCGAGGCTAGCCTGGTCTCCAGAGAGAGTGCCAGGATAGGCTCCAAAGCTACACAAAGAAACCCTGTTTGGAAAAAAACAAAAAAAACAAAAAAAAAAAAAAAAAAGAATGTTGGCCTCCAGTGTCCAGGGTTAGTAGGATGGTTCCAAAATATTTTTCCCTGTGTGTTGTGATTTTGTGTCTGTATTGCCAGGGCATTGTGAATGAAGTTCGTCAGTCCATGCAACTGATGCTCAGCCAGCTGATCCAGCAACTAAGGACCAGTATCCAGCTCCCAGCCTGCCTGCGTGTCATTGGCTATCTTCGGCGCATGGATGTCTTCACTGAGGCTGAGCTGAGAGTGAAGTTTCTTCAGGCCCGGGATGCTTGGCTTCGCTCCATCCTGACTGCCATCCCTAATGATGATCCTTATTTCCATATCACAAAAACCATTGAGGCCTGCCGGGTCCACCTCTTTGATATCATCACCCAGTACCGTGCCATCTTCTCAGATGAAGACCCCTTGCTCCCACCTGCCATGGGAGAGTACACTGTGAATGAGGGTGCCATCTTTCATGGCTGGGTGCTGCAGAAAATCTCACAGTTCCTGCAGGTGCTAGAGACTGACCTTTACAGGGGTGTAGGTGGTCGTTTGGACTCTCTGCTGGGCCAGTGCATGTACTTTGGGCTGTCCTTTAGCCGGGTAGGGGCTGATTTCCGAGGCCAGTTGGCTCCTGTTTTCCAGAGGGTGGCAATCAACACTTTCCAGAAAGCTGTTGAGGAAGCAGTGGAGAAATTCCAGGATGAAATGACTTCCTACACCCTCATCTCAGCTGCAGCCATCCTGGGCAGCAGTAACATGTCTACTGCAGTGCCAGCCACACAGCCAGGGACATTGCAGCCACCAATGGTGCTCTTAGACTTCCCACCCCTAGCCTGCTTCCTCAACAACATTTTGGTTGCTTTTAATGATTTGCGTCTCTGCTGTCCTGTGGCCCTAGCGCAGGATGTGACTCAGGCCTTGGAGGATGCCCTTGCTAAGGTGGGTAACTTTCTGCTACCTTGGTCTGCCTTTGTTAACATCCAGCCAGGCTTTTGTATTAAACCAGACCATATAACTTTGGTGCCTGCTCCCTACGAGAGGTTTAGTGTGTTCTTAAGGGTTTTTCTGGTAGAGAAGCTCTGATGATGGATCACCCTTTGTGGGGATGATCCTAGAAGAAGCTATGAAGTAGAGTACCTGTGTCAATCATTCAGCATGCACAGTCTGTTGCTTGATACCAGATTCCCAAGAACTCAGTAGCTTTAAACAGTACATATGTTATCCAGTGTCTGTGAGCCACGAATCCAGGTACACAGTCTCTATTGGAGTTAGAGTTCTGGGCTCAGTTAGAGGTGCCATCCCCAGCCATTGCAGAAGTTAGAGAGCTGAGGTCCTCAGCTCCTAGAGGCCACCTACCATAGACAGCTCACAACCTGCCTGTTTCTTCCTCGAGGCTGGAAGGAGAGCGTCTCCTTGTTTTTCATGATGCCCCATTACTGGAACTGGAAACCATACCAGAACATAACAGGTTGGGTCATAAATCCACTAGTGTGAAGTGATACAATAGTGACTATTGGCCACAGTGCTGAATGTGAACAAGATAACAATGAAATGTACTGTTTGCAATGAATAACTTTTTTGTTATGTTTTTTGTTTTTCAAGATAGGGTTTCTCTGTGTAGTTAGTCCTGGTTGTCCTGGAACGCCATTTGTAGAGCAGGCTGGCCTCGAACTCACAGAGATCCCTCTGCCTCTGCCTCCTGAGTGCTAGGACTAAGGCATGTGCCCTCACCACCGGCTATAAATGAACTTTCTTTGTGCTGCACTTTTGTGCTATTCCACATAGTCAGCAGCAGTAGACTTCCTCTGTGGTTGATTGTTGTCACTCTTGTCTTGTAGGTAACCAAAACAATCCTCGCATTCCATCGTGCTGAAGAGGCTGCGTTCAGCAGTGGGGAGCAGGAAATCTTTGTCCAGTTCTGCACTGCCTTCCTGGAAGACCTTGTTCCCTATTTGAACCGCTGTCTTCAAGTCCTTTTCCCACCAGCTCAGATAGCCCAGACTCTCGGTAAGACAAAGGAAAGATTTTTTTAATTTTGTACCTTTTTTTTGTGTTACAGGATCTATCTTCCTCTACATCTCCAGTGCTGGGATTAAGGCATGAACCATGACACCTAGCTCTTTTCTTTTATGATTTTATTATTAGTATTAGTTTTTGGGTTTTATGATTTTATTATTGTTGTTGTGGTGGTTTTTAGCTTTTTGTTTTGTTTTTCGAGACAGGGTTTCTCTGTGTAGCTTTGGAGCCTATCCTGGCACTCACTCTGGAGACCAGGCTGGCCTCAAACTCACAGAGATCCGCCTGCCTCTGCCTCCCGAGTGCTGGGACTAAAGGTGTGTGCCACCAACGCCCGGGGTTTTTGGCTTTTTAAGACAGAGTTTCATTATATAGCCCTGGCTGTCCTGAACCTCCTCAGTATACCAGGCTGGCTTTGAACTCAAGAGATTCTACGAATGGCTGGGATTAAAGGTGCATGCTACTACCACCTGGTCTATTTTTATTATTTTTAATTATGTATTCATGTAAAGTCTGTGTGTGGGTATGTGTATGTTAATATATTTTTAATTTTAAGTCTCATGTAGCTGGCCTTGATTTGGATATGTAGTTGAAGCCATGCTGGAGCTTCTGGTCATCCTACTTCTGCCTTCCAGGGGTGGGTTACAGGCATGTGCCACCACCTGTTTTAAGAGTAAGAGGTTGTAGCTGGGCGTTGGTGGCACATGCCTTTAATCCCAGCATGCAGGAGGCAGAGGCAGGGGGGTCTCTATGAGTTCAAGACCAGCCTGGTCTACAAGAGCTAGTTCCAGGACAGTCTCCAAAAACCACAGAGAAACCCTGTCTCGAAAAACCAAAAAAAAAAAAAAAAAGAGTAAGAGGTTGTAGAGTCGGGCTGTGGTAGCTACACCTTTAAGCCCAGTATTGGAGAGGGATCTGACTTCGAGGCCAGCCTGGTTCAAAGAGTGAGTTTCCAGAACAGCCAGGCTACACAGAGAAACCATGTCTTGAAAACAAAAATCCCTCACTGGACTTGGTGGCACAGGCCTTTAATCCCAACACTTGGAAAACAGGAGGCAGGTGGATCTCTGAATTGGAGGCCTGCCTTGTGTAGATAGTGAATTCCAGGATAGCCAGTGCTATGTAGAGAGACCCTGTCTCAAAAAATAAAAATAAAACCAGTAAAAAACTACTTTTTTCTTCAGTTATGGATCCCTTATGGAGTTGGGTGAGAGGAGGCACAGCTCCCCTCAGGCAGTGGGTCAGTGATGACCTGACTAAGAGTAGCTGTTCTCCACCTTGGCTTAGCACTTTCTTTCTCTTGTGTCTATCCCAGGATTCTAGTGTCTCCTGGCTCCAGCTCCACCCACCCTAACTGTTGGGCTCCAGTATAACAGTCTTTCCATATTACAGATATGCTCTTGCTGAATTGGAATATGTAATTGTGTCACTTCTTTATTCTGAGGGGGGAGGGGGAACGACCCGGTCTCTGCATTGAATTTAATGACTTTTTTCCATTTCATTTTTCCTACCACGTGGGTCAGGCATCTCCCCCACCCAGCTCTCGAAGCACGGAAACCTTGGGCATGTGAACATCAGTGCCATCCAGGAGCCTCTCGCCTTTATCCTGCCTAAGAGAGAGACAGTCTTCTGTCTAGATGACCAGGAGCTAGTACCGGACCTCGCGGCCCCAGAATTAGAGCTTTCTGTGGAGCATCCCAGCCTGGAGCCAGATACTTCAGCAGCCCCTGAGAGCGGGTCAGAGAGGGAAGAAGCAGGGGAACAGCTGCCTGGGGAGCCAGTGGAGGGAGAGCCACTGCAGCCCCCGAGTGAGGAGCCCTAGTTGTTCCCTCACCCAGGCTGGCGAGCAGCACTGAAGGCACAGTCCTGCCCGCGGCATCTGGAGAGGGAAGATCGTCGCGTGTGTGGGGCCTGAGACTGCTTTGCCTAGGATATCGCGGGGCACTGTGGTTCGTGGGAGCTTTAATAAAGTAGCTCGACTATCGCCACCTGGCTGCTGTCCCTGATGACGAATGCTCGAAGTCGCGCGGGAACTACGCTTCCCAGCGACCTTGGCGCTAGCGGGAGGCCTGGCGGCGGCGGGCCCCGCGCCCTG